ACTTACAGAGAATGAGAATAGCTGTGAACATTGCAAGAGTCGAGCCAGTTCTGCTGATAGTCAATACTTTTCGATCAAAGTAACTTACTGGCATCCACTACAGTACGGAATACTATGTACATATGAAGACTACCCTAGAAACTTCACGACAACTGCTTCTGTGATACGTAACTATTGCGCGTAATCAAATGCAAGCTATCCCTAAAATACGGAGGACACAGCTTTCTCGGAATGGCAAACTCATTTCTAAATACAAAAACTAAGAATTTTTGTTTCATTTTCAACTTTATCCTATGCAGATTGCATCAAATTTATTCATTAGAATTTATTCATTTTCAGCGTTGTCAGCTGCACCTGACAATAAAATGAAAGACATCAATGCAGCACATTCCAATATGTTAGAGTAATCAGGAATACTTGAAATTAAAAAGAAGCACAGAAAAGGCAAATGAAGCTTGTGCAATGTATAACAAGCCACGACAAACTTCTTTGGCTATTAAAAGGGCTTTCTTTAGTGAAGTTTAGTTAACTTTAGTTTAGGGTCCAGTCCTGACATCTCAGACAAATTTACGGCCATAACCAGTAGCACTTCTTGGGTTCTTGCACAGTTATAGTTCCAATGAACATCCAATTTCAAAATCACGTATCCAAAGCTAAGCATGTCGCATCGAACGGGCTTGCATCTTCCGATGATGGCGATTAAATAAATTGCAAATGTTGCCTTGATCTACAGGTTGAAAATTCTTGGAAAACTAAATACATGAATTAATCGATCGTTGCGTTATAAATATTAGAAAATGTTTTCCGTGTAAACAGAACTTGAAATATACAGTATAACAGTAAAATTAAATCTTTATCTTTAATAATGAATGAATGAATTAATTTATGACTTCCCTGTTCAATCGTATATCAAAACAATACATTTCTTTCCAATGCTTGTGCTGCTTTATTTGGTTTGGTCAACATGGTTTCGTGATCTCGATACTTATCTGGTTGAAAAAAATTGCACTTTGTAGCTTTTTACTGATCATTTAAAAGCATTTGCTAGTGCTTTCCTTCTAGCAAAATGACACTTTGAACATTTATGCAGCAGGTAACGTGGCATGGTTGTAGTGACCAGATCTATTTTATCCCCTTCTACTGATCATATTTCAATGAAAATTTGTGCATGAAATTAAATAATTATTCTGGTGTGTTTAGCTTGCGGCAAATCTTATAATTTCGACTAAAATCACATGTCACACAGCAATACGTGCACAAATTTCCTGTGGCCAACAAATTTTTCCGAATTACTTAACAAATCTTAATAAACTCAAGAACACGTGCAAGGTTTTTGTTGATTGGCTAGGTTTTTTCTATGTTTGGAGTCTTGCAGTCGCGAGACCGGCCGCAGGTCCGGCCGTAAATTTGTCCGAGACGTAGAACACGGACTCACTAAAGCTTTTTCGCATGTGTTAAGATCGCAATATTTTCTCCGATTACCGCTGCATTCTCATGTTATATGGCTGATCTTTAGACATTCATACGAGAAGAGCTATAAACTATAGGGAAGGAATAAATTTCGAGCCTTCAAGTTTGAGGTCTAGAAATTTATTAACTGCTACATACAGTCAGCATATTACGAATGTAATAGTTTAAAATTTTCTCTGAATATCGTTGTGATCAGTTGATATTGGTTATAATTGTGCAATTAATTTTGCCCTTTGTGCAAAAACTACCTCCATTTGTACGAGTGGTATGAAAGTTACAGAAGAGGTACACAGAAAATTTTATTGTAGTAAAGTTTCAACTTGAAAAGAAGTCAACAATCAGCACCATCTGTCGGATTTTTCTTCCAAGCTTGAACACATATGACAGACAGAACCAGAATTTTGTAAACTTGTGACTGATAATCGGCGGATGCTGCCTTCTACATTTCTGTTTCCAGCGGTGGCGTGACTGGCATCTGAAACCAAAAAAATGCGGAGTGATAACAGTCAGTGTATTATTTTTTAGAAAGATCGTGTATTAAATTATTCATAGTTGTTGAAATATAAAAAATAAATATTAATCCAGGTTTGGAGTCGTTGTAATGACCAAAAAAATGGTCGTTAACTTTACAAAAAGTCGTTGAAATTCCAACGACTCTTGCCACTTTATGAAACCTGGCCGGGTTACTTCTGACTCTTCGCTTGTCGGATACGGAATGTACGGTAATCGTAAACTGCAGCTATTATACATACGGAATGTAAACAGATGGTGTTCAGTGTTGCCATATGACTTTGGAGAAAATTTCTTCTAAAATAAAGTTCTAGATTTCTCATTCACCAAATTTCTGTATCAAGAAAAATCATATATTATTGAAAGATAATTAAAGGCATACTGTACTGAGTATTACGTCTGTTCCTCCACAAACTGCTCGTGTGCGGCAGCGCGACGTAGAATTGATGGCTGGGATTGCGCGAACACATGCGCGAAGAGAATCAATTTTCATTACATTACGCCAACTGTGCACAGCAATGGCTTAAAAAAGTGAAAATGCGCGGGAAAATTCACTGAAAACATACATCATCCTGAGTGTGGACACAGTGTCGGAATATAGGGATTTGGTAGGTTTGCATTCTAAAGGCTTTTAAATAAATAGGGTAAATGCGGTATATTCCGACACATTAAGGACGCATCGAGAAATGAAAAACTATAAAAAAAACGTATGCGTTACGTAAGTTCTGTTGCCTTCACGTGACTCTCAAAACACTTCACTACGCGTCAGCAACAATGAAACGAAGTAAAGTATCTTGGATACCAGAATTTTCATACATAAGAAATCTGTTAAAATCTGGAGTAAATGAGGAAATTAAAAATGAGCTGATTCTAAAAAATCACTGGTTTGCCACTATGCAAACACGTGCGCGAAGATAATCAATTTTCATTACATTGCGCCAACTGTGCACAGCAATAGCTTAAAAAAAGTGAAAATGCGCGGGAAAATTCACCGAAAACATACATCATCCTGAGTGTGGCGTTGTCGGAATATACCGCGTTTACCCTATGGCAACATTTTGTGACGTTTCATCGTTGCTGGCGCGTGGCGCGTAGTACTGTGTTTTGCGAGTCACATAAAGCAAACAGAACTTGAGTAACGCAAACGGTTATTTTTTTATAGTTTTTCATTTCTTGATGCGTCCTTAATGTGTCGGAATATACGTTATTATACCGCGTTTACCCTACCTAGTGTCCATGGAACTTTAAGTTATATGGTCTTAGTATTAAGTATTTAGTTAAATAAGTATATGCTTTTGGTTATAGGACAACGAAATAAAAAATAAAGTTTAAACTTTAAAGTAACAGTCAACATGCTAGTTTACAAACTACCAGCTACAGCAGCTAGCCTACCACTAAGATTAGGCTAACTTCTTGAGCTAAGGAGTAAGGTTTACAACTTACAAGTGACCACTGACCAGCATGGTAATTGGTAGTCACTCATGGCTCAAGTCCCTAGGGCATAGTGAATACTAAAATGGTCACAAAAATTAGCAAATGACCAACTTATATGCCTACTAAATAATTTAAAGTTTATATTGAGCATGAGCAGGGTCAAGGCTCCAGCACTAGTAGATGAGCAAGAGTGCAGGAATTGACAAGTAAAAACTGTGCATGTAATGATGTAGTAGTTCAGAACTTCAGGATCTACCTCACATACATCACAGGACCACGAATTCATGTAGATTTAAAATCAATGACAGTCAATATTATTCACTGTAGCGCTTTTCCAGTTGAAGTCATTCTTCTCGGCCACCGGGTCGACTATCCTAACCACGCTCTCTTGGACCGCGCTATCAGTAAACATAGTCCTTTCGTTTACATTGTTGATCGGATGATGCTCAGGAAGGTAGATAGCGCCATCTATGCGCCGTACGTTCCGGGACACGGAATAACGTGACCGCAACCAAAGCAAAGGTTTCAGATGGAGAACACAGCAGGAAAGTTCTCGGACGCTAAGCCATCAATAAGTTTCAGAAATCCATAGAAAAATATTTTCTAAATCTTTTTTTAGGATCAAGCATGCATTGACAAACCCGTTGCGTGCGAGTGAATAATAATAATAGCGGTTTCAGCGTTTTTTTAGGCCGTAGGCCTGTCGCCGATTCTTAACATCGCAGAACACTCACAGCATTTTTGAGGTCTCGAACTCGCAACGCACTGCTACAATTCTGCTGTGCTTAACCGCCCGGCCTCCTTGCCGATTCTGGCCAGAAACTGTCGCACAGAGCTGGGATCGAACCCGCGCCTCTCTAGTGCATCAATCTTGGTACTCTGAACTTTAAACACTGGGCCACCCTACCCAGAGGTGGCCCTTTTCTAACTTAATTAGAAAATATATGAATTTGTTAGGCGTGCAAAGCCATCCATTGCCTACGGTAGGTGTGCATAGTCATTCGTTGACATCGAAGAGTTGTTCCTAACAGCGACTTGCGGCAATTTCCAACAAGATGTAACATCTTGCAAAGTGAATGAAGGTCTGCACGATAGTAATTTTTTGAAGTATCAGACAATTAGAGTTAAAAACAGAAGTGAATCTGGACTGAACGTGGTAAGATGCCATTTCTCCAGGTTAGAATCCTTAGTTCCTAGTTCAAATGCGTGGTTAAGCGGACGAGCCAAATGGTTCAATACCATCACGCACATAAACCATCAAATGGTTAATACCATGACGTCAGGCCTCCAAAATTGAATTTCAGCAGGAATAAGCAAGGACGCTTAGTCCTACAAGTTCTCAGAAGCTCCTAGTTCTGACTCCAGTCATAATAACGAGGTCAATTCTTAGCAGCGCTCACAGCTCTAATTCAGGGCTGAATTCACTGGCTGGAGAACCAAGATTGAACGTCATAGGCTTTCAGGTTGAAAAAGTGATAGTTTCACCTCATTGCTGCCACTCTTCAAATCCTCCGTCTATTCAGAGTTCTTACCAATCATCATGACGTATTTTTTGGTTGACTAGGGGGTTACAAATGCGCATGTTACACGATTTCAAATCTTTAATACAAGGTCGACTTTCATCCCGTGTATGTACGAGCTACACAAAAAAAGTTATGAAATACACTTTAGCGAAGGCTATATTATGCTTTTACAAATCTACAAGCCCGGCAATACAATACGAAGAAATTCCGTGCCAACACCAGGAGTCCTCCGTTCCTCGCCGAAAGATTAGAAAGAATAATTTGTCGTCGGTATCGTATACACAGTATTAAAAGACAAGGTTGACGAAATATAAATCTCAGAAAAATCTACGGGGTACTCTAAACAAGGGGAAACGTCTGTTCACTGGAAATCGAGAGGATACGAATACACGGTATGGTATTCCAATTCCTCTAAAAGGATTAAACCTTCTGCCTAATCCTGGAATTATCGGAGAGTTGAATCCCGAGGTGATTGCAGGCGTGGTTCCCGATACAACTACTCCTGGAAATGACCCCGCGATGAAACCTGAAGTAGCGCCAGGATTCGTTCCTGTTCCTCCTGGAAATATCGGAGTGTTGAATCCCGATGCAATTGTAGGTCTGGTTCCCGATACAACTACTCCTGGAAATGACCCCGCGATGAAACCCGAAGTAGCGCCAGGATTCGCTCCAGCTCCTGGAAATATTGGAGTCGTTATTCCCGAAGTAGCGCCAGGATTCGCTCCAGCTCCTGGAAATATTGGAGTCGTTATTCCCGATGTAGCGCCAGGATTCGCTCCAGCTCCTGGAAATATTGGAGTCGTTATTCCCGATGTAACGCCAGTATTTGTAACAACTCCAGCTCCCCCTGGAAATACCGCAGCTCCGCCCGGAGTTACCACATTTCCCCCTGGAAATACCGCAGCTCCGCCCGGAGTTACCACATTTCCCCCTGGAAATACCGCAGCTCCGCCCGCAGCTACCCCAGCTTGGTCTGGAAATACAGCCGCAGCTCCGCCCGCAGCTACCCCCGCCGCTCCAGGGAATACGGCTGCACCTGATCCTGAGGCTTGTCTCTTGCGACGACGCTCTGCCAAGTTAGCTAGATTATCCAAAGACCTGGCCTCATCTAAATTATCGCTGGATGGATCGATTAGAATAGCCTGTTCATAATCTTGCGCTGCTAAATTGGAACCGTCGTCCGTATCTGACGCGATGAACTCCCTGATCATTTGGTCTGCGGCGCTTCCACTTTCTGGAGTTTCCGCTGGTGCAGTTTCTTCGTTAATTCCGAAACCTGGAACACTATAGCCCTCCCCTGCATAAGCGAATTCATCGTCAATATGTACGTCGACGTAGTCTAAATTTTCATCACCGTCTGCTGCCGTTGCGAATCTTTCATTTAGGCCGACGCGGACAGCTGGATTGGCTATCCGGAGAACGAATCCTGCAGAACCGTCCCCCTCCACATCAACATCTGTAGGGAGTATTGCATATCTTTTTGAATACACGCTGACGACAATTCGTGGATATTTTGGGTACTCTTTCATGCTTGCCAAGAGGAAATCTTCAGAGCTTCTGTATATCTCAAGGTAAGCTACGTCTCTTTTCCCCATTTCATCTGTGGGATCAGCGTCGCAATTGCCACCTCGGCAGTCGACCCTGGGAAAGACTTCGTACACGTGAATATCCGGCATCTTGATCGGCTTAGGCTTTACGGACGAACTTCCAGTAGGTAGTGTACCGGTAGATATTTTTGCCGTGTCGGCGGCAGATGGCGTAGAGGAGGTAACTGTCTGAGGTTGAGAAGTTCCATTACTTGCAGTGGCGGGGGACCTCTCGGTCGTACGAGCGGAGCCAGTTTCGGCGCGATGAATCGTGACGGAGGGAGGATTAAGCGGATCTGGCAGAGCTGTTGAGCCATCAGCTACGTTGACGAAACCCGCAGATACTCCTCGCAAATAATCTAATTGGGATTTGCCATCCGACTGGGAGAAGGCGGAGCCTGGATTGATTTCCGGCTCAACACTGGTATCGGCAGCAGCACCGAAAACGCTCATGCCTGAAAATAAAAATGTAAATCAAGACCTCCCATCATTCCTTTGCACTGGTTCCGGGACCTTATCGGATTAATGATAAATTTAGATACGCACGAATATGGATACATGTCTATTCTTTCATCTCGCGATAGTTTGAAAATGAATCATATACCACGGAGTTATTGATAACTTGATCCGCTAATTACATACCGTCTGACTTCAACAAGTCAGCGGACCTATTCAGCTCAATTGAAACTACGTCCCGTTTCCGAGCTACCGAAGATAATTTGGTATAGCCTAGTATCACTATCAGCTAGCGCCAAAAATTTTCACAAGCCCGCAAACTCATTCAGTCACCAACGCCAACGTCTATCTTCAGAATATAGAATTCTGATTCGATAATTAGTTTCAATACAGCAGAAAAACGCTAGTTTTTTTCGTTACGGGACTAGTTTTCGAGTCTATCCCAAATCTTCAATCAAATTCAAGTTCGATCCTGTTGCACAATTTCTACCCATATAATAATCTAACAATAGTTAGGCCCGTAAGTTAGGGCTTAGAAACGGATGGTATACAGAAATTTTCTAGTGCGATTTAGTCTCTAGGCTAAGTTGGCCAGACAGTATCCAACATCAAGGATTGATCGTCGTCATCTGCTCTCCTAACGAATGTTACAAGTTAAATATACAGCACTTACAAGTTGGTAAGTGCCGATGACTGGCTTCCTAAATTAAACGTGTCTAATACCGTTGTAACCAATGAACGCTAACACTCACCTATGACCCAAAGAACACCGCAGAGGATCATGATTGGACGATCCGATGCCATGTGGTCAACAGCCTTCCGTAATTTCATACAGTAGAGCCTGTGTTTAGACCCGAGGTAAACTATGCTCTGAAGTTATGGTCTTAAAATATTGTCTATCGTGGGCGTCCTGGACGCGTAAAAATTGTGAAAAAATACTGAAATTCTGAAATGATAGTTTTAATGATAATTCGTTAAATTCAAATCTTTTTTAAGGTTTTTGCCGCAGCGAACTAGGTCAGGAAATTTTTTGATTGAATAATTTTTACTTATAGGTTCACAAAAAAAGTAAAATGTTGATCATTGGGTCGGTTCAGTATCATCTGTTTCAAATAGGGACACACAATAAATATTTGAAAAACTATTGATTAATGATAAAATTCCTAATAATGTTTTATTTAAAGCTGGAATTGCTGGCAAAATATGGCTCAAATTGGATATGGCCCTAATTAAATCATATCATTATGATAAAAATATGTCATTTACACATTTGCTTGCACGCATTAATTTAATAAAATTTCTTCCTATCTAATTTGCATGCCATCTAGGCATGAGGATGTTGCGTAGAATTCTGATTCAATAAATAATATGATTCAATAATTCAATAAATAATAATAAACTAATGTGTGCATCAATACCGGATTATTACGTGAATTAATAAGTAAAAATCTAAATTTCGATGGTAACACTTTAACTCGAATTAGCAAGAAATATGACCATATTAAAGAGACAAGTTTTGTAATTGTCACTGCATCGATGAAGCGAAATGCGTGTCCTTTTCTAATGGCGTAAGGCTTAAATATAAGTAAAATTGAACATTGAAGTATAAACTGAATATCAACAACTTAATATTGGCTAATTGATGTCATTGAATGGTTCAAAAAAGAAGTGTCTATAAGCATGCTGCAACAAATACGTTGTACTTAGACTTATAGACTTAATGATGTATAGAAATTGCAATATAAACATTGGTGAATCATGGTTACATTAATGGTATTTTGGTAGGTCGAAATTTCATCGTGTAGTTCAAGCGCCATTCAAAGTTAGGTCCAAGTGCCTTGTTGCAATAAGTGTAATGCACCTTGAATATTATAAATTCATTTGCAAATTACATTTTTTTATCTTAGAAACTGCGATCCGGATGCAACGTGCACACGCAATTGGAGGTCTCGCACAAATTTACGGCCGGGCACGTATCGTCATATAACTCACGATTGAAGGCGAAATTTAACAAATTTTCACGAGCTAAATATCACCGCTGAGTCCTAATGAATACGTGTACCAAGTTTCATCGAGCTGCGTTCATTAGTTTGAGAGATATTTCTCGTTCACTGAATTCGAGGAGACCGCCCGCGAGTCCGGCCGTAAAATTGTCCGAGACGTCGCAGTTGGTTACCTGCTATCTGTATGATCCGAAAGCCTTGTATTGTATGCAATGCTGCGTAAAAGTCTAATTTATTAAACAATATTAAAAAATATATTAAACAATACCGTTATGAAGTAAAAAAATTATTCTGAGGTCTGAATACAACGTGCACGCGATATTGGGTGATTGCTATCGTCTTGCAGTCTGGTCCGAAAGCCTCGTTGAATTTTACGCAATTGAGTTTCAACACTACAAATCATTATCAAATACCTTCATTAAAAGAAATGATGAAACAAAAGACGCATTAAAAGAAAAAAGATCTGGAAGCAACACGTGTTGGGAGCGCAGCCGTGCACCACCAATTTTGTACACCAATAAGCCTTGGATAGAACGCCTTGGATTTCTCCCGATATCCACCAATCAGCCGTGCACCACTCGGCTTTGTCCTCCTCCGGCCTTGACCACCACCTGCCGTGCACCACCAGGCCGCGGATCGAATCTGACTCCTGGGCATCGTTAAATTACGTAATTTTACGTTCACCGCATTCGAGGTTAGGTTTCAGTTAGCATAGTTCTGTTCCAAAATTTATCGTCCTTCGACAAGTTGCCGTTCGACCGAGGGCTGGTTCGACCCACGGCCTAGATACGGACGGCTTGAAGTGTTGAAGGCTACGTTCCGGAAGGCAGGAATCATGATGGTCCATTACATCCAGGGCAGTTGTGGTCTTCGGCAGGCGACCCCTGCGTGTTCGCTACCATCTAACAAAGTCTTGTCCGAAGGCCTATTCGTATTTACTGCAAGTCTGCAACATCATTATTAGAGAAAAAGATTGGAACGTTAAAAAATGAAAAGTACAAGTACAATTATGAATTGAAAAAGATAATATCTGATATTTGTTATGATGATTATGTTTGCTATTGATATTTATAATATCTAGAAAATTATATATGTAACGTGGACACTTTAATCGGTGGCCGCTATACCATCGTGCAGCACCGCGCTGCAGTGCTGGCCACGCCATGGCAGCTACAGCTTGCGTTCACTAAATATAACCCCACCCACCACAGTGGCGGTTGTGCTATGGTGCTCCTCTGACACCTGTGTCATGCTCGTGACCCTTGCAAACTTTACACACATAATTCATTAATTCGGTCATTATAATGTTGTTGTACAGTTGCTTTTATACTGGTGGAAATTCTAACCCTAGAAATTCTCATCCGGGACTTTGTCGACCAGTCGTTCGGAGATTGTCTTCAGCTGTGTTGAAGTGGATGATTATTGCACGTACGTTGTGATATAACACATGGATGTTATTCTTGTAACAATAATTTTGTTTACAGTTGCTTTTATATTGGTGCAAGTACTAACTCGAGAAATTATCATTATTAATTTTATTAATAATGATAATTCAGAATTCATTAATTTTTTCAGAATTAATTATCGACTTAGTCGATCAGACTTTCGGAGATTGTATTCTGCGGTGTTGAAGTGGATGATTATTGCACGCACATTGTACAATAATACATGGATGTTTTCCTTGCAATATATTGTTATTGCAGTGCTTCCAGGCGATCAATTCAGTTATCGTGGTTTTATTATGAAATTATTTTTTTAGGAAACTGGCTAGCATTTGATTTCGCCTATAATTTCAAGGACAGATTTTGCTTACCCTGTGCTTACTTTAAGAAAATTAAACTAGAATCTATGTCAAAGTGTATTGTAAGTGGCTGTTATTGTGTACATATTCCGGATTTAAACGAAGAAGGCAATCTGACAAATTATAGTTAAAACAAAGCAATTCGAGACATATATAATGTTTGATGATGGAGAGTGTTCATGGAGGACAGAAATTTAACACAACCGTGCAAAATTTCACAGGAGCAATTTTTTCTTTTGCATTGCCATACTTGATTCCAAGATGACTATCACAAATCGCAAGTATTGTTTATTTGTCGCAGGTTAGAAGATGTAATTGGTTCAGACTCTCATAAAAAAGTTGAATCTTGATTCTAATATGTAATAGATGTCATTGTGATTGTTCATTCAAAAATTATGTTCGAGCTTCATTTCTTAATATTTAATCATTTGCTTATTAATAAAATTAGGATCACGCTAATGACCAACATGAAAGATGATATTGTAATTATAGTATATGATTTATGATCGAAATACGTATTTGAACTTACGATTTAAACTTATCTAGACCTGCAACATTCAGTATTATACATTCCGATCGTTCTTGAAATTTTTTAAGTTGAGTTTAAAAAATTACATTTAATCAATAAAAATTCTGTTTGATTCACGCCAAATTGAAGATGCAGGTTTATATAAGACGGGACTCATTACATTAATTACTCTGATTAAAGTATTTGTTTTAATAATAAAAAAACAATTGAATGCATCTTCCGCGGATGCGGATCCCAGTTTACGACTGTCGTATGCCTGATACAGCCTACATACAGCCGTATGATACAGCCTACATACAGCCGTATGATACAGCCTACATACAGCCGTATGATACAGCCTACATACAGCCGTATGATTCATTTATCCATTCATCTCCCCCCATTCATCTCTCTGCAATTCATCTCCACATTCATCTTCTCATTCATTTCTCCATTCATTCCCCCCATTCATCTCCCCTATTAATCTCTCGATTCATTTCGTAAGCGTTATTTATATGTGTTAACGGATATTTATAAGCATGGATAAAGAGTATCTTACAGGAATGACCGACATTTTTCTTGTAGATATCTGTGTTGTTGATTTATATATTTGTAATATTCGATTATATTTTCTTTCGTTATTGGCAGGGCAGAAACTGTGATAATTAATACGAAGAACACCATAAGGCTTCTGATCATGACTCTAACGGTAAATTTTTTTAGCAACTTTGATAAGTATCTAATTTTTCACAATTTATATCTCTGTTTACAAATAATTTTCGTGAACCTCGTGAGAATCTTTACTATAATTTTATTTTGAGTGTTAATAGCTCGGCTTGTGCGTGATTTTGTTTAGCAGGAATCTTTAAATTTTCACCCAGTCACCTCCAGTTAAAAATTACATACTCTGTCTCGAATATAGAGGTTGGATGTTGAACACTTTCAATATAATCAATTCTAATATATTCAAGTGCATTTGATCTCAATATCGGAAGTGAATTATTTTCCCAATGCCACGTTTCAATAGCACAAATATATTCAGTTTTATTATTATAATATTCATGCCAGTTTAAGACGCGTGTTCGTAACCCAGTTTCAACAAAGGTGTCATTCTCGTCGCGATGTTATTTACGTTCGCGGAAAAACTGTGACTTTTGCGCGGTGTTTTTAGGTGACGTCATCGACGAGGAGCTCAATGACGGGTGGTTGCTGCTGCACAAATAATTCTTATACAGAAGACAATACAAATACCATTCCCTATACAAGAAACAATACAAATACAAACATTATAACAACGATAAAATATGTCATCTTATAGAAGACCGTATACTTCGGTAAGTATTGGAATAGATTTAAGCCATTTCTTTTGTGTCATTTAGATAAAAAGGGAACTCAACGTAATAATTAATTAACGCAATTAAATTAACATTAATAATTTATGTAGTTAATTTTGAAAATTATTTTGTGCATATTCACTGAAGACATGTTAAGCATGAAATAGTTTATTTTAAGCTAGA